GGGGGGGAAGGAGGATTTAGGCGGGAATTTTTATAAAGTAGTTATGTGCGAAGATGTGCCGCTTGCGTTCCCGGGAGACGGCCCGTCTGAGCCTCCCGTGCGGCGCCGTGTGCTTAAGTTGTTGCGATAACGTTTGGGCTGCTGTAGGAGCTTGCCGGAATTAAAGACGACGGGTGCGTTTCTCCCCCCGAGAGTCTGCTGTATCCTCTGATCCATAGGTTGTATGTAACCACTTGCTTTCTGTTGTTTTAAACTTCTAGGAGTTAAGAGTTTTACAGAAACAGCACACCGTCTACAAAGAAATAAAAGCTATTTTTGTGTTCCTCGGTTTCCACCTCTGTTTTGTTAAAGTTCATGAGACCTCGCTCATGGGAAATTGTTCAGTGAAATAATCCATGGATGGATAAAACTTTTAAGTGTTGCAAAGTAACAGCCTAATAGTGTAAAGTGCAACAATTCTACTAGTAAAACATGAATTCGCAGTACAGTAACTACTTACATTGAAAATTACACCAATAAGAAGTACTGGAGTAATGTGTTCGTCCTCAGGGAGCAACAGAATAACTAGATCCATCAGGTTCATAACTTCTGCCTCTTCCTGAGTTGTCTCTGTGATGTTTTTGTATAATACCCTAATATCTGTAGTGAATTGCTCTCTAGCTGGATCACTCCATCTCTTTTAAATTATTAATTGAAAGATTTATATTGCTTGCTATCCATTTTTAGATTTAATGGAAAGAAGTTATTGGTTAGCGAAAGATGACAGGCTCGTTTGAAACCAATGCTAACTGTATTGAAACACATTTTTAAGTATTTCTGAATCTTACACAAGAATTCCCTCCAGTGCGGAAGGAGCTTCCCTTATTCAACTTCATGACATTGTGCTTTTTTTCTTCAACACTAGCTCAAACACTCCTGCGATACCCTTATTAGTCTGAAGAAGCATGGATCTGCTCTGTTCAGCTTACCGTGCTGATCAGCAAATAGGCCTCTGATCTAGTTAGGCTTTCTGTTTCTGCTATATTCACCAGCTTTCTTGTATTTACAGTGCAAGCATTTTACAGCAGAAGCACACACAGCTTTTTAAGTTTTGCAGTGCTGAGCACAGTATGAACATGCTTAATGTCTAGGGCCAGGTTCTATTCTAATGCAAATAATCAGTGAGAGTTAAGCAGCAAGTGGAGAAAAGCACGGTTACCATAGGAAAGGTATGACTAATTATTTTGGTTTTCTTTCCTCTGCTGCTCTGTGTGCTACAGTACTTCTCATTCGGCACTGTTTCAGATTGTATCATTAGCAGCTGTCACCAGCTTACCAAAATACAGGAAATAACATGTTCGATATCCGAGTTAGTTTGCCACAAATTGTGGAAAAGTGAAAATAAAGCATCGTTAATATCCAACTGTGTCATATTTTTTGTTACCTATAATATGCCAGGTATTTACCATGCAGTCTGAAGTTGGCGGTGCTGTTTGGTGAGCTTGCAAACTGAGATAAAGACTTCCTCATTTGTATGTGGAAGTGCTGGAGCACTGCCTCATTGTAAATACTACAGCTAATGCAAAATATGTACTATGAGCAGTAGGACCAAAGGTTATTCAAATTTAGTAGTGCCAGCTAATAATAATAAAATCGCAGGTGCA